CTCTCGGAGATGTTTTGATCCCTGCTAGATGAATCTAGGTATGGGAATGGGAATGGGGTCTAAGACTTATTTTAGTAATATAAAATAACTAACTGTAAATAACTGGAACTGTGTTCACTTAAGATGTCTTCATTTGTTGTAGATATATAAATTCATATGGCATTGTGTGTGTAACAACTGTTTGTTGTATTACAAAAACTAAAACAGACAGATGTTTTTTTTATATCTTTACTTTAGATTGAATTAGATCTCCTCAGAACATTACCAAACAACAAGCATTATGAGAGCCTAAATTCTGACGGCATTCCCAAGCTACGTCGTGTACTTCTTGCTTACAGTAGACACAACCCATGTGTTGGATATTGCCAGGTTAGTATGCATTTGTTTTGTGGGTTCGGATTTTCAGGTGTATGTCCTTTTATATTAATATATGATTTATAAAAGATTCAGGGACAATATATGGGAGTTTCATTGTCCTAAATTATCCCCTTTTCTTTAGAGATATTCTGATACCCAAAGCATGTTACCTACTAGTTACCTACTACCTAGCAAATTCATGTGTATCCCGAGTTTCAGTGACTGCTTGAAACTAGTCTCGAATTTCAGCTTGCCAAACCCATTTATTTACAGCATGTAAAGTGAAAATGCAAGTCATATTTGTAACCCCTCAACTGAACCTCGCCAGATGAAATTTTGGATATTTTGAGTTTTGAACTCATACTGATCTTTCTATTTACAGGGTATGAACAGACTGGCAGCATGGGCCATGCTCTTTCTTCCAGAGGAAGAGGCATTTTGGTGTTTAGTTGGGATTATGGATTATATCATGCCTCCAGATTATTTTGGAAAAACTATGATGGCAGCACAGGCTGATCAAGTAAGAATTCCAATTTGAACAATCTATAACAATAAATAAACTACTATTTTAATTTTTCACTATGATATGATATTGGTAGCAGGTTGCATTTTGACAGTTTTAATGATTATGTTATTTTCTTTATGTCATTTGATAGTTCATAACCTAATAACTGTGTCTTGAATACTCAGTTTAGCAGATTAATTTTCTTTTTCAAGTGTATGCTATTATTTTTTGTTTTTCTTTCAGAGGGTTGTTAAGGATTTGATAGCAGAAAAACTCCCCAGAATCAATGCACACTTTGAAAAAAATGAGCTTGACATTTCCTTATTCACATTTAATTGGTTTTTGACCCTTTTTGTTGACAATGTTCCCCCAGAAACCACCCTGAGGATATGGGACAGTTTTCTATTAGAGGGAAACAAGGTTTGTATTTTAAAAGAAACGTAACCATGTTGTACAGTATATTTTGATATCTATGCTAAGATAATGATTTTAATTCAGCAGCAGTTAGCATGTTTTTCTTTGTAATGGACATGTTGCAACGTGATTCTTTGTTTCTCCATGTTATGTTCTATTGTGTTTAAAATCTAATTATATCAATTTTATTTTGCTTTAGGTGCTGTTCCGCTTCTGTCTGGCTTTTCTCAAGTTTAAAGAAGAAGACATTTTGAAACAAAGGGATATGATTTCTTTAAATAATTATTTGAGGACTTTGGGTGAAAAAATTTTTGACGTTGGGAGATTATCCCAGGTAAGGATATTCTGATATACTGGATGGATTGATGAGACTAAAAGTTCCAAGAATATATGTAATGTTCATTACTATGTTTTTTTTTTGTTTTTGTTTTTTTTTGTTTTTTTTTTTTAATAATTTGGAATACTTACCGTATTCAACTGTATATTGAATAAATGTTACTTTCATTCTGGTAGTTTTTGTCCTTTGCAGATAGCATTCACAGAATTGAATCCATTCCCTATGAAATTTGTCAAGCAAAGAAGAGCTTTCCATCTTCCACAAGTTCAGGTCAGTTAGTTTGAGAATTTTGAATATCATGTAATGATTCATATTAACATAACCAACATTCCATTTTAGATCTAAAAAAATATTGTATCTCATTGAAAGAAATTTTTATATACATCGAGTCTGGAAACCTATAAGAAAGCAGGCCCAAATATTCTGTAAAATGGTGACATATTTATAACATTTTCTCTTTAACGACTGCATAGATTGAAATACTTTATTTGGCCTGTTTCAATGAGCACAAAAAAGTAATTTCAGTCAGCTATTATCCTTTTTTTTTTCATTCTAGCTTGAACTTGAGGAACTGGATGCCTTGAGAGGTGAAATTCGTGAAAAGAAAGATCAAACAGATCTTATGGAGTTCTCAAGTGATGATGATCTGTAGTGGACAGTCTTCAACATGAGATGGAAAAAAATTACACAAAACAATCACAAGAATTTAGTGTATTGACAATTTTACAATCAACATGGGGAAAAGCAGTCATTTTATGTGGCTAAGGACTATAGTTAATGATAAAACAATGCAATCACAGCTGCACAGACTTCAAGCAAACTAGAACAATCAAACTAAAGTGATAGCATTGATTTCCAAATATCGGTCTGATCTGATATTCATTTATGTGTCCTAAATAATACCCACAGCCTTCTCAATAAGACTATATTTCACACCAAAGTGACAATCTTATTAAAGTGCTCCTCCCAGATACTGAAAAAGAATGCACTAGGGAACACTATCATTAAACTGCTGTAAATCGGCCACAAATAAACAGACAACAATTTTCAAACCTGAACTTTGAATACATGGTTGGGAGTTGTTAAGAGAAAATGGTAACAGATATGGTCTTTCAAAGTGCCAATTTTTCATTACTCAGTAAGAAGTTCTGTTGTAACAGTATGAAGTTGTGATTTAACATATCATCATGTGCATACCAGAACACCCGTTTGTGCCTGCAGCAGCATTTTCAAGCTTTTTAAGTTTTAAAAAAGGAAATGTACACAAGGCTTCATAAATATAGTTAACTTTTTTTATTTAGAAACCTCAAGTATAACAACAAATAATAAAACAAAAATAATATTTGGCTTTGTTTATTATCATTATGCATGAAGAACATTCTATCAGTACTCATGTCATAAAGATGGGCCTGTTATATAGATTTTTTTAGACTGATGAATCATCGATAAATGACAACTGTAGTAAAGACTGCTTCAAATACCTTAAATAGTGACCATGTTTCAAGTCATTAGTGTGTTTACTAATATTAGTCAGAAGCTAGTGTTGAGTACTTATTGGACATCATTTCAAATAGGCAATGGCATTATCATCCTTAATTTTTTCCAGATTCTTGTTCCGAGGGCATTTTAAATGGCTTATCATACTGCATCAGATGCATAAAAGCCTTTTGATCATCAAATGCATCATTTTCTAAGATAATAAAATAGTTTTTATCCTTAATTTTGACTGTAGAAAAAGGTCCAGGTACATCTGGAATTGCCATTTCTTCTGCCTTAAACTGAGTTTTCTTTTCTCTCATGAAAAATGACTTGTGAACTGCTGTAAAAAGTTTTTTATCCTCATTAAAATGCAGTTTAAAAATATATCCTTTGGTTGCCCAGTGAATTAAAACCGGTGTCAAAAAGAACAATGCTGCAAAAACTTCCCCACCAACAAGCAATGAAACTGGCAAATTACTTGCTCTCATGAGAATAAATGGTTGAAGTGAAAGAGTGATACAGCTGGTGCTTAGGGAGAACACTTTAACACCCCTAACAAATGCATTGAGGTTGCCTTCATAAACAACAGGTCCCTGCAACGAGTCCTTGTTTGCTGGTTGAGACGAACAGAAATGGTTGCATTGCTGGGCATTTGTCCGGTCCTTCGGCGCATTTGTTAAAGTTCTTGAGAACAGTTGCCGATTTGGGCACAACAAGGCTCTTGATTGGAAATCAATACCAAAATTTGTGGAATGTCTCTCAAGTAACCTGCCATACCTTGTAGGGGTGTTCACAAATCTGCACTGTAACGCCACTGAACTAAAATATCCAACTTTACTAGTGAAAGTTTTCAGCATCTTATTAAAACTGAAATGAGAAAACAAGTGAAAGTTTTCAGCATCTTATTAAAACTGAAATGAGAAAACAAACTATCAACCTTTTAAGGCTTTTATACATTTTGTAAAATTTCCTTGAAAATATGCAAATTGGTCCGCACTTTTGCAGTATACCCCCCCCCCCCCCCCCCCCCACTATATAGCTTANGCTTGAACTTGAGGAACTGGATGCCTTGAGAGGTGAAATTCGTGAAAAGAAAGATCAAACAGATCTTATGGAGTTCTCAAGTGATGATGATCTGTAGTGGACAGTCTTCAACATGAGATGGAAAAAAATTACACAAAACAATCACAAGAATTTAGTGTATTGACAATTTTACAATCAACATGGGGAAAAGCAGTCATTTTATGTGGCTAAGGACTATAGTTAATGATAAAACAATGCAATCACAGCTGCACAGACTTCAAGCAAACTAGAACAATCAAACTAAAGTGATAGCATTGATTTCCAAATATCGGTCTGATCTGATATTCATTTATGTGTCCTAAATAATACCCACAGCCTTCTCAATAAGACTATATTTCACACCAAAGTGACAATCTTATTAAAGTGCTCCTCCCAGATACTGAAAAAGAATGCACTAGGGAACACTATCATTAAACTGCTGTAAATCGGCCACAAATAAACAGACAACAATTTTCAAACCTGAACTTTGAATACATGGTTGGGAGTTGTTAAGAGAAAATGGTAACAGATATGGTCTTTCAAAGTGCCAATTTTTCATTACTCAGTAAGAAGTTCTGTTGTAACAGTATGAAGTTGTGATTTAACATATCATCATGTGCATACCAGAACACCCGTTTGTGCCTGCAGCAGCATTTTCAAGCTTTTTAAGTTTTAAAAAAGGAAATGTACACAAGGCTTCATAAATATAGTTAACTTTTTTTATTTAGAAACCTCAAGTATAACAACAAATAATAAAACAAAAATAATATTTGGCTTTGTTTATTATCATTATGCATGAAGAACATTCTATCAGTACTCATGTCATAAAGATGGGCCTGTTATATAGATTTTTTTAGACTGATGAATCATCGATAAATGACAACTGTAGTAAAGACTGCTTCAAATACCTTAAATAGTGACCATGTTTCAAGTCATTAGTGTGTTTACTAATATTAGTCAGAAGCTAGTGTTGAGTACTTATTGGACATCATTTCAAATAGGCAATGGCATTATCATCCTTAATTTTTTCCAGATTCTTGTTCCGAGGGCATTTTAAATGGCTTATCATACTGCATCAGATGCATAAAAGCCTTTTGATCATCAAATGCATCATTTTCTAAGATAATAAAATAGTTTTTATCCTTAATTTTGACTGTAGAAAAAGGTCCAGGTACATCTGGAATTGCCATTTCTTCTGCCTTAAACTGAGTTTTCTTTTCTCTCATGAAAAATGACTTGTGAACTGCTGTAAAAAGTTTTTTATCCTCATTAAAATGCAGTTTAAAAATATATCCTTTGGTTGCCCAGTGAATTAAAACCGGTGTCAAAAAGAACAATGCTGCAAAAACTTCCCCACCAACAAGCAATGAAACTGGCAATTCACTTGCTCTCATGAGAATAAATGGTTGAAGTGAAAGAGTGATACAGCTGGTGCTTAGGGAGAACACTTTAACACCCCTAACAAATGCATTGAGGTTGCCTTCATAAACAACAGGTCCCTGCAACAAGTCCTTGTTTGCTGGTTGAGACGAACAGAAATGGTTGCATTGCTGGGCATTTGTCCGGTCCTTCGGCGCAGTTGTTAAAGTTCTTGAGAACAGTTTCCGATTTGGGCACAACAAGGCTCTTGATTGGAAATCAATACCAAAATTTGTGGAATGTCTCTCAAGTAACCTGCCATACCTTGTAGGGGTGTTCACAAATCTGCACTGTAACGCCACTGAACTAAAATATCCAACTTTACTAGTGAAAGTTTTCAGCATCTTATTAAAACTGAAATGAGAAAACAAACTATCAACCTTTTAAGGCTTTTATACATTTTGTAAATTTTACTTGAAAATATGCAAATTGGTCGGCACTTTTGCAGTATACCCCCCCACCACCACCACTATATAGCTTAGTGATATTCAATATCTTCTCTTCTGTGGTGACTTTGAAAAATTAATAAACAATAGTTTGGCAGTTCATCAACTAATTTAAAATGTTTTTTTACATAAAACTTTATGCCTACCAAATATTAGGAGAGTTGAGGTTATCGCTGGGGTAAAAATTGGTTTAATCTCATTGGTGATATAACTTGAAGGTTTAAAAAAAAAAAGATGAGAAAATAAGTTAGTAAATTTTCAAACTACTTTATTTGAATAACAGACACACTGATCATAGTCACCACATAATTTAGCTTTGATAAGAATTAAAAACTTGAATTTTTAAAATAAAAATTACAGGGTGGCCTGTGGGGGGGATATTTCAAAAGTACCATATGGTCAACAGAGTGGTTACCTTGTCTTCATCATCAAGCTAAAATATAATGATTATTGTCAAGCAAAATGAACTTTGCGTAATGATCTGATAAATAACTTCTGTACTGGTGACACCAAAGAATGAAATGACTCAAAATGACAACTCAGTGTTGCTTTTAACATTAAAATAACTTGCTATTTGGATTCTGCACCCCAAATACATTTATCTTGAACTCAATAAATGTTTTTCTGTAGGGGGTAAATATTTTTGCAGCTCTTGAGTTACGACAGACGTGGGTGTTCATTTTGGAACATGATTGGGAATATATGATTGGGAAAGCCATGGATTATAATAGCGGATGCTAGTCTGTGACCTCCATGGGCAAGTTGTGCCTGTCCCCTGCAGCGCACATGAACAGTGAATGATCTATTTAACCTGGGTCTTTTGTTTTGGACATCTGACTACTCATCATCAAAGTGCATGTACTGTCCTAGGTATATCACAATGCACCAGGGGTGCCACAGTAGCCATTGTCCAACTGCAGTGCTGGCAAAGCTTTGATCAACCTGTTCTCAGGTCATGTATGTCATCCCCTTCAAATCTCTCTTTCAGCACCGTGTAATTTAAATATCTAATGGAAAAAACCCATGAAAATTGAACGATGCGAAGTAAATAACTTCAAAAAATCACTTCAAAAATCAAATCCAATTGCAAAATAAGTTGATATGAACTCAAAATATATCAGTAAGCAATGAATATTGCTGATACACCGCAAGAGATTGACACAATTTTTTCAATGTTGGGTCAGCTGCCGTGTTGGCCATCTTGCATGGCCAGTAATATATCCAAGAAGAGCTACTCACCAATATGGCTGCTGACCCGACAATGTAAAAGTCTCACCGATTTGTTAAGTTTTACTAAGATATTACTTAAATAGTAATGTAGTTTGCTTTATATCACCCTAATTTGTTGGAAATGGCTGTTTCTTTTGTGTGATTGCAACTGATGTTGTTTTTTCAAGTGTATTGCGCTGTATTGCAGTGTATTGCGCAATTCAGTCACACCGACTCCAGCACTACGCCTTTTTACTGTTATGGCCTGGCCGTCGGTCTAACTTATTCATGGACGCACGGGTAGTCTAATTAAAAAACTGTTATTTTTAAGTGAAGTAGCGTGTAAAGACACTGAGCATTAATCCTCACCTTGCAGATATATTAAGAACAGAACAAAAAAAATTCTACACGCCTACGCTCGAACGTTAGTCGAATCCTCGCAAAAACGTGCCTTCCGGAAGCGGTTTATTTTGCAATAGGAAAGTTCAGAGAGTGTTCATAATTAATTCTTAATAATAATGGAGAATACTTTACTTAATATGAATGTTTGCATAATATAATTAAAAAATATTTATTTTATTTGGCATGGACAGATATGTTGAGTATCAGACGAGGTATGCACATACAAAAAATGTCATTGAACCAATATATTCGCGCGTATGCATTGTTTACTAGAAAGTGGAAGTGGAAATCCACGTGTTGGTTAAGTTGAAGGACCTGTTCTGTGGCAATCCGTGTTTGAATGAGTTGACTTCGGAGTTGAAGTGCACATTGGTCATATGGTAAGGAAGACATTTTGTAGGTTTGATTGTGTAGCCAATAGATTTATTCCATGCCAATTTATTTAAAAAACGTTTTCCCTTTTAAAGCCTCACGCCAGTACATGTAGCACTAAAATAGGTATATCAGAAAAATTTTCATTTGATCAGAAAATTATAATACTTATATCATCTGAAAGGTAATGCAAAAACCGGATGAAATCATTTGGAATTTTTTAAATATTCCTAAAAGCAACAAAGATATTGAAGTTTTTTAACTGCAAAAATCCACCAAAAGTGTCCACACTCTTCAGCTAAAAACCTGTAACTACTGACCAGCGGTGATCACTCAACTGTAGCTGTGCTCAAATTGCTTGTGACCAATTAGGGCAATTATGGCTGTATGTTAATCTAATGACCCGGAAACAAACCCAAATTGTCGACCGCACAAGCACATGGCTGGGATGAATTCCGTGCAGATCATGTACTATAAATATTGCGCATCAAATAAACTATACTTTCGCATGGTTTAATTTTCATTATTTTTCTACATAATATTGCAAACGTCATAAACTTTATTCGCTATAAATTTCAAAATGCGGAAACCAGTACTTCCCTGACATTTTTGAGCATTTTGTCGAGGCAAAACTTCAAACACCCTGAACTGAAACTTCTCAAAGACTGCAACACGGGAAAATCACGTGACCGGATTTTACTCATTGATTTACAGCTTATTTAGTTAATGACTTGTATTAGTTTTTTTTACGTGGCGCTAAAAGAGAGATTTAAAAAAGGGGTTCCATAGGCGAACTGTCAGCAGGCCGACTTCAGTTTTACACTTCACTGCCCCTGTATGTTTACGACTGTAGCGCCCCTAGCGGATTGTGATATACCTAACTAAAATTCATGCACTGCCAGCACATATCAGAATCGTCAATAGAAGTGCTAACGCATGAATTTTCGTGCTAAAGTACATGTAGCTGCTATATTTGTGCTACAAGAATTAAAACATATCTGTTGTACGTGTGTACAGTAAGTTTTGTAATGACAGTTCTGTATTAACTTTGATCGTTCAGAAATGCCTCTGAGTCACTGCCACTTATATTGAGAGCATTATTTGGATATTTCACAGAGCTCTTCTTCGGTAGTGATGATTTTACCATTACAATGTACCGGGGTATGTATTAGGTAGGAGGAGGGGGGACTGACCAAAACTTAAATGACACTGATCAAGCTAACGTACAATTGAAAGTGTGTGTAACACAAAAAGGGACATTTGTATGTATTTCTTGACTGACACATGTTTTAATTTTTTTAATTTTCAGTGTTTTTATTGCCTTTTGAAATACATGTAACGATGCAATCTGAAGAGAAAACAAGTGAAATGAATGACGAAACAAGAAATGAGTTGATAAAAAAACTAGACCAAGATATGGATGAATACATAGAAAAAATGAAGAAGGAGTCTGCAGATAAATTAGCTCGAGGGGAGACATCTGATGCTGAGCTGTCTGTTGAGGTAATATGATAATGGACTGATATAGATTTCATTATTAGTACCACTAGTGTGAGTGCTGGCAGTAATCATGGTTTTAGTCCCAATCCGTCTCGTCCACCAGCTTCGCATCATGTTGGTGGATACAAGTGACAGTGCTTGTTGTCTTCCTAAGCTACAAATAGGCCTATGTCTTCATCTCTTGGAATTGGGTCACATATAATTTCAATTTGAACCCCCTAGATTTGGGGTTCTGTCAGTACATTTGCCTAGGTGTGATGCTAGTCACAATGCACCCTTGTCAAATATTTTGAAGATTAAATGATAAATATCTAGCAAACTGAAAGAATTATGAGAAAAGTGACAATATATAGAGAATGTATTAATTGTAACACCAGCAAGATCAAGTAATGGTTGATCTCCACTGTATATTTTTTAATATAAAAGCTCAGATATAATGATAGCAATTATTTTATTAAAACGTATACAACAAACTTTTAAATTATGGGAATATTGAATGTTTTCTGATTTGAATTTTTCCATTTAAGGAGTTAATGCAGCATCCAGCCTTTTTGAAAGAGATTGATTACAGTAAGCCACTGTCTCCAGAACTGCAGGGCTTGATATCATTGAGATATGAGGACAATGATGATATAAGAGGTAACATTTCAGGCATTTTGTCTTTTTCATGACAATCTGACAGGTGTTGCAGTCAGGTGTTTCTGTTACTAAGATATTCTCTAAGCTGTTTGCCGTCAACACCCAATTAGTATAATACTTTTCAATCCAGACACCTCCAACAGGAAAAAGACGAAATCTGAACACAATGACAGCTATACCTGTTAGCACTATTTTGATCAGTATATCACCTAAGTTTATACTAGTTAAGTCATATGTTTACCAATAACATCACCTAAATAAATAGAATCATGGATTTTATGCATTATTTGCACTTCAGTGCAAACTCCTCTTTATTTCATGGTATATATCCTTAAGCTCAGCTAAACGATTCAATAGATTTTTGATGATATTGATAAAATGTATGATTTTGAAAAATTTGCTTTCAGATAAGGCAGAGGCATATAAGGAGGATGGAAACCATAATTTCAAATACAAGAAGTACCGCTTTGCCGTGGCTAACTACACAGAAGCCATAAAATGTGGCTGTCCAGACAAAAATTTCAATGCTATTCTGTATGCAAACAGGGCTGCTGCACACTTTCATTTGGGTCAGTAGATTTATTAAAAAGCACATTTTTTGGTAGATAATGGATTAGCAGATTGATATTGAATTTACACTGTGACTTGCAATTTTAATTAAGGCAAGCCACTATCAAAATTATTTTAAAAATAAAGGCACTAAGAAAAATTATGTTGATCTAGTATAGAATAGATTTTTAGATGGTCAAATATCTGTGGCAAACAAATTGGCTGATACATAATGATTAAGCGTGTCTTCAAATTATTTGAGAACCTATGATGCTTACAAATATGAATAAAATATGTAAAAATCACCTCTGTTGCTCTGTATTTGGACACTATATGCTAATTCTATTTTTATTTAGGAAATTACAGATCTGCATTTAATGACTGTGTCATTTCCAGAAAGTTCAAGCCTGATCACATGAAAGCAATTGTAAGAGGTAAATAATTAATAATGAATTTTGATGAGTAAAGTGCAGATATATTTGGTGGATAACTGGGCTGGTTGAAAGTGATATATTTAGCAGTGACATGTACAACTTTTCAAGCTAAGGAAATAAAGCTTTGTCAATGTACTAACTGCTGTGTATATTACCCTTGGCAGAAATGCAAATAAATTTTTCAGTGAAACTTTTCTGTGACAAGATGTTTTTAATTTTGATGAAAGATTTTAAAATAACCAAACACCAAGGACAAATAAAAGAACTCAAGATCCATGCTTCATGAAAACATATTTTCATAAACCTCTGTTTGTCCAGTCATTGGTCTAGTCATAGGTGTGCAGTCATAGGTGTGCATTGAGACTTTCAAATTATTGTGATTAGGTAAACATTGGCTGATATCAACCAAATGTCATGTTTCAGGGGCACACTGTTGTTTGAATATGAAGAGATTTGAAGATGCCATGAAGTGGTGTGACAGTGGTTTGTTGGTATCCTTTTACACTGTTCTTAATTGAAAAAAAATGTAATGTTATATTCACCAACTGTAATTTTTATATATCTATGGCAGTTTGTGTACTAAAACATCAATTTAATAAAACTTTACAACAGCTAATGTTCTTGTGTGGTTTGTAATGTGTGATGATGAGTTATTACATTTTGCACTGAATAGTTGTCAGTTCTGCAGTTTCAGAATTCAATACATAATGACAGAATGAGTAATAAATCTTTAACAGTGTTTTTACTTAAATTATTTTGAGGATGGGGAAATAGTAGCAGCTCATTTGTAAATAATAATTGTGAGTTAATTATTGCTTTGAGTATTGCTTTGAATACTATTCTACTTCTATGATCAGTTTGTTATATTTGATTGAATTACTTAGAATATTCTCTTTTAATTTGTTAACACTGCAATATAGTTTTCATTTGCACACTACCTTAACTGAATAAGGTAGAACAGACAAATGCAAAGCTCCTGGAAATGAGAGCTGAAGCTGAGCAGAAAAAGGTAAAAAAATTCTGTCAGCTACAAAATTTTATTCTTATACTCAGTAGATTTAGCACTGGGGTTTGATATTGCTTCATCAAGTAGTGTATTGTTTCTTGTAACTGTAATTTTGAAAAACAATTTACATCATAGATGGGTATGTGTGCATAATTCACAAGCATTAATGCGATTTTATAACTTCTGTTTTATGTAAAAGATTAGCATGCAAAATATATCCTATTAAAATGTGCTTTTACTCTATAGAAATCACAAGATCGAGACAAACGAAAAGCAGAAATGAAGGAAAGAAAAGAAGCCGAGAAGGAACAGAAGCTTATTAGTGCAATTAAGGTGAATTCTTTACGTAATTAACACACTGAAAAGTTACCTGTGTAATTTACTTTGAGATTGATTATTTTAGTAATGTGTTTGTGCATATATATGTTGAGCATTGTTTAAGTCCAAGGGTTACAAATGGGAAAGTACACTTGTTCTCTCTTTGGGTGCATTCAAAACACATTAATTGTATTAGCTATTGAGCACTAACTCCACCAGGATTTTTGTTGAATGCAATAACATTAACAGAGTGCACCCTTTGATTCTGATTAAAGATAATTGTTGCATAACAGTCTCAATGGATTGTCCTTAAAACATTTGGGTTTTCAGTGTTAGTCAACTTCAATGAGTAAAATGCATATTACAAAATTTAAAAGCATGGTATCTTCTTGAAAGTTAGTATATATTCTTTACCTCTTTTCTTCAGAGTCGAGGTGTAACTATATACAGGTCAAGTAAAAAGGGGGATATTTCTTTGAGTCTCAGTGATCTTGAGTCACACCATCCAGCTGGTGTTAAGGTCAACTTAGATGCATCTGGTGTGCTTCATTGGCCAGTTCTATTCCTGTATCCAGAGTATGGAGAGACAGATTTTTTACAGTCAGTGTCAGAAAACTCGAGGTGTGTATACAATTTTATCTCTGAATTTAATTACCAAATGCTGTAAGTTTGCATGCCCATTTACAATATCTGTCATTGATCATTGTCCTTTTGATGACTCATGAACTTAAAAAAAAAACACTTTTGTGCTTTTCGTCCTTTTCTTAATATCTTATCTTGGAACACATAAGTCCAGAAAGTCACTGTTATACATTTTTTTTTTTTTTTTTTTTTTGTTTATGAGAAACTGTGGATTCTATTCTTTCTGGTAATAGATTTTTAAATTATATATTAGTGAAGATAGTTGAAGTGTTTTTCTTTCTTTCTTTCTTCAGTTATATTTTAAGAAAATTGTCATTCATTCATTATGTACCATAAAATATCATTTGAATTGAGTGGTCCTAATAGTACATTATTTATTAATGTGATTGTCGTTTATTCTTGTGGTTGTCTTTTTTTTTTTTTACTGATCATTGGTTTTTGCGAATGACTTATGTTTGCTAGAACCAGAAATCATGGTGGCAATTATAATCAGAACTAATCAAAGTCATCGCCTTGCCCAAAAGGGTTAGAATGATAACCTAAGTTAATAAGAGTGATAAGTGGGGAACTAACTTGATACATCTTATTTCCTTTGTTGATACAAATTCTGGGTTAAAAGGAAAGGCAAAGTACCAATTTTATTGAATAAAATTGAAAAAAAATTTTAATGTACTCTAAAAATGAATTCTAAAAAAGAAGAAATGTAATCTTACTGATTAATTTACTGGGCTGTGAAATCAATTTTTGCTACAAGTTTTATTCCTCATGGAGAATATTTCCCATCTAAATGTTATGCATCTGATTCATTTGTGTTGGTAGGTGATTATTGACCATCTGGCCTAATGATTGGATATAATTTGCGAGGTTCCAATGAGCTGGTGGAACTCTTGCAACCCATAATTAGAATAATGTTCAATCTTTAAATCAAAGAATTATGATCCTATTGATCACACAGAGGCCTATAAATTGAGTGAAGTGCTGCTGTGAGAGAAACCTATGCCACATAAAGTAACATCACTTGTCTGTTTGATTGGTTTAGTGAGGTAAAAAGTCACAAAATGGAAATAGCCTAACCTGGTGGGATTTTTGATGATTTAATCTCAATGAATTCTATTACTGCTCCAGTTTTACTAAATGTGACGTCTCCTGAGTGTGTTCTCAGGATTCTCTGGTACCACATTATGCACATTAATATCTAAAGGGAAGCAGATATATGTACATGTGATTATATTAGGGCATGCTTTTCAGATTGTTTTCACAATTTAGATTTTCACAAAATCTGATCAATATCTGATGGTTGAAATCAGTGATTTCTTTATTTTCCCAAAGTCTGTTGGGTTATGCTTATTTTAGAGTGAATTAATAAATTGGCTACTTTCTTCAAATCAATCCTATGATTATGAATTATTCTCGTGACAACATTGAACAGTTATTATCAAAACATTCTTTTCAAACAATTATTGTCAGTTATAATTATTTTTTTCCAGGTTGTGTGACCACATTGAACATATGTTTGGCAGTGATACAGAACCTCCCTCATGGGATTTAGAAAAGAAATATACACCTGCTAGAATTCAGGTACTGTTTCTGTTTCTGTATGGGCAAATCAGAAAAGGACTAGAAATGGCAACATGTTGCAAACTTTTGAATGCAGTTAATTTAACTTGCAAGTGATAATTTCCTTAATTGATATTACTTTTTGCCTTTATGTTTTTGATCATTTGCTGTTGCTTTAGTAATTGATGTATCAGAAAAAAATCATTACAAAGGAACAAAATTTATTACATAATGGGGCCTAATGCATGTAACAAATAGCTTCTGATATTAAATGGTATAGTTTTGATTCACTGCTTCTGCTGTGTCAAAAATGCAACTGTTATTGGTATGAAATAAATGATTTCATTTCTGACCTGCTATTATCTGCTAGTTATCCAGCTGTGTTTTGTAGTATTAATGAAAATGTATGTAACAAACATACGAGTCAAACCATGATAGCTCACTTATTCAGTTTTATTGTAAGATGACCACAAATAAAATTTTGTGAAATGGATGTTGCTTTATTGGGCTTGTCAAGTCAGCATTTTTGTAAAATGATATGTCAGAAGTGTAACACTAGACTTCTTCATGACCCATGTTTATTTGTGCAATAAATATGTAGAAAAACACAGGTTATACTGGTAAGAGAGTGGTTGCAGAGAATTTAGAACTTGCATCAAATTGATATGAGTGATACCTCACTGTAGATATCTGTCATAATTTCAGGTTTATTTTGAAGAAAAAGAAAAAGAATGCTTACACAAAGTAGATACAAGCGATACATTGGCTGGTATACTAAAAGATAAAAGGTATGTTCTTGTTAACTATGGCAGCACAAGGAAGCATTTGCTTGGAAAGTCGGTAAATGTTCTTGTTAAGTATGTGGTCTTTCCAAGAATTTGCATGTCAGATAGCAAAACACAGCTAACAAAAAAAATCAATTCTCAGGATAAATTTATGATAATATATAATATGATTACCTTGACAAGAACAAGTCATTTATTCAGAACATGCAGACAGATTAACAACTGTTTGTCATTAAGGTCACACTGATTAATTTTATGGATAACATTTGTGCAGGCATTAATTTTTGCCAGTTCACCAAAAAAAAAAAAATCACCTACTGGTCACTCCAGAATTGACTGCTGTCACCATCTGTGTTCATTCAAAATGCTGGTAAAGCTTGGGTTGTCACAAAAAAAGCGTTTATCTTCTCCTGCAAGAACTGCTGAATTTGTCATGAAATGAACCTTCTACACATGCATATTGCCCCCAAAAGTGGATGGTGGCCGTGTTGTCATCAGTTCTCTAGGATTACCCCTGTCATTATCAAAATACAGTGAGAAAAAGCAAATGATTGCTGGCTCTTTATTTTTTAGTGTTCTCAGCACAAATAAAAAGGTGTAGTTTGTTTGATATACTGTGTTCTGTAGTTCAATTTGTATTTCTAGCTGGGTATTCCTTCACTTTAGAAGCATTTTTTTCTCGTCCTCTGGCATTAGTTTTGGGGTCTCCAGAGGATGTCTTCCATAAAATTAAATCAGCATGGCCTAATATAAATTCATATAGATAAGAAATTGCAGATTTCTGAAGCTAAATTTCTTTAGGGAGTTACATGTAAGTTTCTTAATGTGGGCAATTGTATTTATATCTGGTATTCTGAGGATTACAATATGGTCATGCAAGAACACCATCTAGCTGTACCATCAAAGTTACAGAATTACACAGATCCATAGGCGACTCTTATTTCAATAGATTACTCTTTAAAGGTCTTTGCCATTTGCTTGGGGTCACAGTATAATTGTAATTGGTTCTCATGGTATACAGAATATTTCATAACTTCTCATTGTGAACTATTTCTATCAAGGAAAAATCAATTAGAGATACTCAAGTTGATATTTGATGTAAGTCCTTTCATTTTGATTTTAATTTCTTTTATGTCTGGCATGTTGGCAGATGTACTAGTACATTTATAGTACATATTGTCTGTATGTAAGGCTGCATCCAACTTGGCATTTACCTAATGGCTAACAGATAGGCTGACAAACAAAAACTGCACATTTAACATGTCATTACACTGTTAAGTTAGCCTAACCTCCTAGTAAAGTTACTCTGGTATTGTATTTTCAGATATGTGGTACAAGCAGGGACACCTTCCTTTATACTACTGGCTGCTGAATCTGAATTTGAAACACACTTTTTGACAAAATATGGATACAGAAAATGAAACCAGCATCTATCTGCTATTGAATAAGGGAAATGTTTCTGTTTAACTTAAAAGAATATGTTTATCACAATACATGCCACATTGTATAACATTAAACACTTTAGGAACACAGTTCAAGTCTGCAGTCACCATATTAAAATAGTCTTCTACTTAGAAATGAAAAATCTGCACATGAACTGATAGAAGACCTTAATGAAACTGGGCACCATAAAATGGATGCATGGGATGTGGTAGTTTATTAGGAGTGTCAATGTTAGAGATACATGTATGTGGTAACAACAGTATTTGGTCAGATCCATCTTTATTCATTGGATATTTGATGTTGGTAAACAAATTTCCAAAAGATACTGTTTAAAAAATAACCAAAGGATGGATGCCCCAAAACTTTGATACATATACCTTTGGAGGATGCTCAGTTTTAAGAAAACCATTTTATTATAAAAGAAGATTTATCTAAGAAAACATTTTATTACAAAAGATCTTAAACAGTGTATACAGAGGGTATGTATCCATTAGTGGTATGGGTGGCTTTTCCTGATAAAATAATAGTTATATATGAAGTTCAGCATCTACAGGTAAATTGAGAACAGCAATATACATTGTAGCAGGAAATGCATATTGTTCTACTCTTTACTGGAAAAAATAAACAATTGTGAAGATGATATCTTTTCACCATGACCAGCTTATCAACTGACTGTTAAGATCACTTCAATAAATAAAGTAATGAAAACAAAACTCGTTATTGTAGCCATGTTTGTCAAAAAATAATTGTTTGTAAATTACCTAATTTCATAGTGTTTTTTGACCATGTTTGCAAACACAATGTTTTTTTGTTTTTTTTTTTAAGGAAAAACCTACTATGCATTTAGGGCCCAGTATACCGAGCCCTTTGGGTTCATGTCACAAAAAAATGCCATTTTTGGTGGTTTATATCTGGCATACAGAGACATGCTGCTTACATTGCGTTCCACCAAAAAGATATAGAAGACTGCTTATCTGGTGTTTTTATTCTTTCAAGCAACTCCCTTGAGTAAATTGTTATTGCCTTGACTATGGATTTTATGCGGTCCCATATACTTGTATACTCTGATCAGTGTGTCTGTCTGTGCCGTTGCCGTCCAAACCATCAGCTCCTATCTATAACTGCCAAACCGTATTTTTTTGTTACATAAATGACAAAAGTTAATGATTTTTTGTCTGTTTGTTTCATGCTTTTAGTGACATTTGCCCCATAAGTGCTGTGCAACCATATTTTCATTAATATTCGCTGAATGGCTTAACTGGCAGAAAGGCAGATTCCTTTATCAAATAAGTATGATCAGATTATTTGTTACAAATTTAAGTGTTTATTATTATTATTTTTATCTATTACTACTTTGAATATTGTTACAGATATTTTTTCTGTTTGGTGTCTGTATATTTGTAAGCTTTGCTGTCTATTTGCTATCAGCCTAATACAAATATTTTATGTCTATCACTTCTGAAAACTTTTTCTTCTTTTGTGTGTGGGTGGGTTGGGGGGTAGGTGGCGAACGAATTGCCCTTTTGGGCTGATGAGAAAAGGTCCGGTCTTAATCAAATTGAACGCTTTTGCGTAGTAGATATACCCTTGTTCAAGGGCATATTGAAAGGGGCCCTTCATAAGATTTATTCATTTTAAATTTGCATGACTTCTTTTTAAATAGCTAATACTTGTGTATTAAGCAGATGGTCTTCTAGTTCTACTTGTTTACACCATATTTTAAATACTGCTCATTTTGAATTTACTTGCTTTACTTATTAAAAAACTGGTATTCGAAGTGAATGCTGTAAAATTCGAGGATCTCTTAACCATGACACCAAGCGTACAGTTTTGAAACGCTAAAATGATGTGGGGATGTGTCATTTTTTTTCTGGTTGCGATATGGCCTAAGAGCAAATAAATGTTAAACCCACACGTAGCACTTACAAAGTACAAAGCATTGATCACCGAAAGTGATTCTTGACAAGATAATACGCTATGCAAATTATTATCTATTGCATTCTGCAGTCAAGGTTACTACAAGGCAAGCAAACACGGACAAACACTTTGCCGGAGTGATCTATAGACCAGAGGACATAATGTAGGGAAATCTGTCTGCTGTCAAACAGATTATAAAAGCAATAACTATCTACAGTATTAATACTCAAATGATTGCGTCGACTGTCAGCCAAGGATTTTATTTTTATTTAGCAGGCACATGAGATATACGTTAATGGTAACCAAACTGACAACGCGTTTCCCCTCTAGTTGAGTTAGACTATGGCTTGTAAGCATTTTCCATAACGCCATCTCTACATATATGTGTTGACTTCTTAAACGCGTGCGCGTGTTGAATTGTTTTTAGAATATTAAAAAAGTTAATTGGCGTTCAAATTCCTCGAATGTCGAATCTTTGCGAGACAAATGAATTAGTAAAAATGATATAATTAAAATATCCTTTGAATTAACCTGTATTTACATCCGGATGCAAATGTGACCTCGCTAAAAGAGATTATAATAAATGTGCTTTGGAAGGAGATTACTACAGTCTGGGATTACTAATCATTGGATTTTATGCAACTGATATGAACTGATACCGGGTATCTTCCACTTTGTGATGTATAAAAAATTACTATAAATATGAAGGTTTGTTTCACATAGTAGAAAACAGGCTTGTGCATAATTAATATCTAAATCTTAGTCATGTATACAATACTTGAAGTGTGTCATGATGCTAGCGTATGATCAGTGCTGTAAGCAGTTGACTCGGCATTAAGACCGCACCTACATGTAGCTTATGATTATGAAATACTGAATATGTATGTATAATAATGGTACATTTCTATATATGTAATTTTGATGATATTCAACTATGTATTTTATTATTATCATCATTATTATTGTTCGTATTACTTTCTCTCTGTACATTTTCACCAGCTCAGTCTGGTGCAGAAAGTATGAATAAAGCATATATATATATATGAAAACATCAACAGATGTTTTGCCCGACTTTGTCAATAATTTGCACACGCTATTTGATGATTTGAAGCATATCGAGATAAAGAATAATGACTAGCTTGTGAAACATACATCTTTTAGCTTATTCAATTGATTTCCCATCCGCTTACGTTTTCTGCATTAAAGATGGCAATCGTTCGTAATATCAGTTCGAATTTTTTTTGAGCAATTGGAGGAAGTGTTGCCAAACTAATATGAGTAGTTTGAAGTTTTGGATTAATGGAGTTATGAATTTCACTAAAGCAATATGAAACGTTTTCAGGTTTTTCTCGTCGGTAACAATAACAAAGTAACTTCCTGCAAACCCAGCGATCAGCTGTCCGCGTGTTGCATCAGAATGTGCAGCCAAAGGAAGTAGGAGGTATCCCCTTCTCCCAAGCGAGACAAAGTCAAAACTATTTCCCTTTGCTAAACCATAACATTTAATGCAGGCAACAATTTGCCACATTGTTATTATTGTTAAAATTATTAGGATAGTGAGTTTATATAATAAAAGCGGCCTTGTTTGGCCAAATCACGAACACCCGATAGTCTTTGTTGCATTCTCTTTTGCTATGAACGGGACTAAGCAAGTTTGTGATGCACTGGGATGGAGGAGACATAAATATCTATATATTACAGTAAAACTTTCTCTGTCTGCTGTTTTATATTTGAAGAGCGAAGCGAGTCAAAAATCCCTATCCTTGCGCCCCGCTTCCCGCTCCCCTCTCCTCCGTAAAACAAAAACATAGATACGCCAGTGTAAAACCAGTGTGGTATATACAAATATAAAGCTTATTTACTTGATATGTAACGTTATATATCGTAAGTATAATTACATGGTTGATTGGTCCTTTTTATTATAGAAACAATGACATATCGTTTATAAAACTCCATGTATCTTTCGTAATATATTTGCGTGCTACCTCATTTAACAGATAGGTTCATTTTGTGTTTCACTTAGACTTGTTTATTATTTTCTATTTCTTTGTAATTTCACTTCATTTTCTTATTGGTGTAATTTATATGTTTTATGTGAATTATGATCATGCCTATACTAAAGCATCTTATTTAGCTTTCCATATACATCAGAAAATTTCATCAGCTGTGTTATGTTATAAGAATAGGGTAATTTTTTTCTTCAATCAACAGTTTAATATTAAAGTAATTAACCTCCAATATTTCGATGTCTGACAGAGGAAGTATATATCCTGAATAGAGGCCGTTCGCCTGGATTGCCTCATTCCCTTATGAAGATGCTCTGTTAGACATCTAGACATCGAAATATTGGAGGTAAATTATTTCAATATTAAGCTGTTGATTAAAGAAAAAATTACTGCATTTCCATAAAATATTGTTAATCGCCAGCCTGCCTCTAGGTTTCCCTCTTTGCATCACTAGTTATTACAGACTGGCCAGGGAAGAAAAGAAATATGTATAACTGAATTGTCTTATGTACTTTAATGCATAAGGCAAGTCTGTTGTTTGCAGTCAATAGATGATCGGCCATGTGACAATTCATTCACCTACTAGGATCACACCTTAATTGGCGTTGGACATACGACTTCCAAAGGAAAGTCACACTTAAAATCTGAAAACAAAACAACCTGTCTGAACCTGACGTTGCCATATTTAGAAGTGTGAAATGTTCCTTTCAGTTCCACTTGTTCTCTTACGACCATCGTCTGGCTCTTTGAACCCCAGTAAAAAAGTTTTAATGGCTAATAATTTCAAACCAATCCGATGCCTGATATGGATCCAAGGAAACTTAGTCCGAACGTTGTGAATGCTACAATCGTTATAATGCAGTGGGTCGTCTTCGACTTCTTCGACTTTTTCTTCTGTCCTTTCTTCTCGTCACTGAAAAGAAATTTGCAGAAAATAAGACTCATGATTGGGCAAAGCTTTCAATCCAAAACGGAAAAAAAAAGCTCCTGCTATTTTGGTATCATATCGTTTTCATATCCAGAAGTCTACTTGTGTGTGACAAAACTAATAACCGCATCCACTACATTGAACAAGGGCCTTTGATCAGCAACAAAATATATGTTAGCACGTCAGTAGGTAAACACTGTCAACGGCAGTCTTCTGGCCAAGTTTATATAACATATTGCCATATCATTTCATAACGAAACTATCTTCGAGCACCAGGAAAAGCCGGTGTGAATTTAATAATGCTACTGTCTTATCAGAGTTGGTATAGGAGCTAGGTTGCAACGAGTCTATTCCGGAACTGAAGCAATATATGACCAATAATGGTTCGTCGTTTTTCGAGGAAGATATTCTATGGACGGTTTATTACTGTTGTTATTTTCCTTTTATTTCTTCCCATTGTTTAACTGTTCATACAAACTGCATTATGCTGCAGCAGTGCCATGCTAAGTGAAGAAAGAGGCACTTCACAATGTAGTCACAATATATGTAATATAGGCCTATTGATGACAAAATGAGTTTCTTTATTCAAGATTGCCAAAGATAAAATGTCAAGTGAAACTAAATTAAGCCCAACATGTCTGAAAGACTTGGAAAAAATTAAAAACGTCTAATGTTGCTTTTTCAAAAGTGATTTGCTTTTAATAATTTGTTTTTGTCAAAGAATTGAGCAACATACTATGCCTTGGCTGGAGAAAGTACCTGTATACAGTGATATTGTATAGAGCCATGTGTAAGCTTCGTGTACATGTCTTCTGCCGTCTTGTTTCTGTCTCAGGGGAAAAAGTTAAAACGTATGCAATTTGGACCATTCGGGAGAACATGTCATGTCTTGTTTCTCGAAAAGTCCGGTATTAATAAGAAAGTTAACTGAATTTTGAAGGCAGCGTTAACGTTAAAGGGCAAGGGCATGCCAAGACTCGTTTCTTCCTTTTTGTGCAACGACTTGCATGTTTGAAAAATTTTACTTACTACGAATACTTTGTCTTATATCAATTTAGACTTAATAAACTAAATAAACTGATGTGCAAAAAAACTTTCGCTAAAAGACTCACTGGTTAATCTGAAAAATAAAGGTATCGGAGATGATTACAATTCAGCCATACAATTAGGACGTAACACTAGATACACCTTAAGAACGTACCTTCTATCTGCCTTCTCTCCCTCTAAAGTTTGGTCATTCAAATCTTCATGAGAGCTGCCTTCTTGGGTTTTCTCTTTTTTCAACTTTGGTCGCACTCTGGTGTCATGCTCAGAAGATGTGGAATCTTGTTTTCGAAATCCGCTACCTCTCGAAGATGTCGAGTCTGTGCTCTTCTCCTTTTTCGGTTTGGGACGCTCCGGTAGCCCTGTGGAATCGTATGAGCGTTGCTTGCGTGCTTTGGCTGGTGGCGAGTTTGTCCATATTGAACCATGACACACATTGTAACCGTGGTGTCCGCCCATGCGACTGGACGCATTGATTGCTGCAAAACTCATCTGAAAGTGAAGAGGCAAAGAAAAGCCTGTATTGCCTTATCATAAGCGTTGACAACGATCTACATTTGGATCCCGAGCAATAAAAAGCGATGCCAGATTTTCGTGTCTAGAAATACAGACCAGGTGTAATTGCTTCTTCAGCTTAAACAAGCTTACGTCAACTGCATTATAATGTTCACATAAATGTCAACTCTTCTAACGGCTTTTACGTGACGTTCGATCGATCATACACTGCGTGATCATATCAATTGTGCGTCGGGGTTTGGAATTGAAACAAAGTACATTGTATAGATTTGCAAATCATGTTCGCATTGTATATTATAGACTTTTGTAAGGAATGAACGGAAAATCTTTTAAGTGGCTTTTTCTATTTTAACGAAATTGCATATTTCATTATAGTCGTAATTGAATAAAGAAATGGAAGTGTTCAATTCAAACAAATATAACCAAAATAACAAGTACCGCAGCTGTCTCACCAAAATGGCAAATCATAAAAAAATTGTTGGTTTAAACACATTACCCCATCAAAGATGTCAAGTCTCGAAAGTATAAGCAAATATACACCGTGTGGCACCGCCCATCTTAACGCAAAAAACGACACCACTTCCATTAGAGAAGATTATCTAAGAATGACACATGCCCTCTCATTTCAGACAAGTTAATTACACGGTTCTAATGTGACTGTATTAGCTGTTAGCAGAAGATAGTGTGGTCCAAGGGATAACTAATGTGCCATTTCGATCTGTAAAAAGTATACCAGAGATTATTTAGATCTACGCCCAGTGCAATTATTTACTCAACATTATCGCTAATTTGATCATAGCAATTAGTAATCTGCCTCCATTGCCACTATTAATAAAGCAGTCAGAAGGGATTATATTCAAAGATTCCGTGAATAATTTGCCTTTGGTCAATTGGTAGAACCACTGTGGGTTAATTCAAGTAATTCTATATTGTATCACGGGAATCGGTGTAGCACTGCATATTTAAGATGCTTCTTGAAGAGAAGTAACTTACTGTTCGTTCTTGCACATAAATTTCTCTCTGATTTGCCATTCTGCATTCCTCAATTACGCATGAAGTCGAAATTAATCATATTAAACAAGGATTTAATTTCATCAACAGAGACTTCCATTGCCAATATGAATGATGAATGTGCTGTGCTTCCATGCAATGCATTCCATTTCATTCCTTAATCGTAAAATTTGAATTAAACGTAGGGGAGTTCGAGATTTTTCAAGAGAGAGGGGCTAATTTTAAGTTCCCAAATCAAACTTGGGCTATTCCAAATGAGGATATATTCATGAACGATAAATTTGGCAAAACATTTTTGCTGGTGCAGCTTTAAGACAATATATATTTTTTGTGGCTCGGGTAAGATTGTCATATTTCAGAGGATGACAGGGCGTACATATTCCCAAGCCAGTTTGCTTTCGCCTATCTATCATATCTAATTGTGATAAATAAAAATTATGACACGTTACTTTGCGCCCGACGAACTGCACAGTTAATTGTCTCTCTGTGTGAAAGCAGTTTGTACGTTGATTTTATAGTTCTCAAGTCATGAGCACCAAGTACCTTGTAAAAACACGAGTTATCAAGTGCATGTTTTGCAAAAAGTAGACTTTGTTTAAAAGTAGACTACCTTTTCTCGTCTAACAGTGTTCTTACAATGGTCTAAAAGTTGGTGGTCCAATCATTCACGTGCAATAAATGACCTAAGTGTTTTTCGAACGATTCACCAACAATCATTGCAGATAACATTGTAATAATCATATTTAAGACAATAACAATTTGCTCTAAGGGTCAAACGAAAAATACGAAAGAAGTTGCCTCTTAGAATCTTCGTGACATGCTACTTTTGAACGGGATGAAATTCTTAGCTGTCTTTGCTAAAACCGTTTTATCGGCATAGGCCTACGTAAGTCACTTGATGGGCAGCGCAAACAATTACCACGTCCAGGTATACTACACATGTTGCTCTGTGACAACCCACTCACAAGTATTGACTTAGAACATGAATCTTTTAGATGTCCATGAACAACGGTTACAGCCTCAAGAACTCACTTTTTCCTTCGGGTATTGGGTGCAGCAGAAATATTATCAAACCTGCAAGGAAATTAAAAGTTTCAGCAGAATGGTCTATCCTTTATTAATAATTCAGCGGCGCTCACATTCAGAAATCTCCGGGGATAACGAGTCTCCCTCGTCACAATTTCGCACTTACTATCATTGCCAGGAAGGAATGCTTTCGGTTTAAACTAATTAGGTTTATATTTGTATTTATTTATCGCCCATAGTAAGCACAGAACGCAGAAAATTTATAATAATAGTGTCTCATGCTGTTATGGATCGACTTAACGGAAGACCAGTGGTTATTTTATTAAAACACCTCGAGGCAGTGACGGATAAGATATACAAATGGCATACTGAATCTTCGGAAATAAAATAATGTGGTCGTTAATCTAGGAGGCTGTCAAAGGTCCAATATCATATGGACCCCGTGTGGGTCAATTATCGATAACCTCATTTATATCCACCCTTTAGCACACTGGCCCAAGGTTAAAATGTGTAGGCGAGAAACAGAAAACATAGGCAAAAGGTTTGTGGCAATAATACGTGCGGTTCAGCGCATATATGTGATGTCCTAAAACACGCTGGTTCGCCCAAACGGAGGAAATCTGGAGGCGGTACACAATGTCAACACCCGGGTACCTGATATTTTGAAAATCAATATTACTGGCCATTCAGGACACTGACAACATAAAATTGTGACCATGGATCATGTACCACGTTACCTGTATGTTCTATATGGACCAAAGCAGTGCTTTCTTTCAGAGCTGGGTTTGGTAGTTGTAGGGTCTATGTGCATCACACTGTGACGTCGTGTAGAAGTTTCGATATAAAACATTGACAATCCGAAAAATGGGTGGCATATGCAAAATATAACACCCTGATATCTCCCTGCCTCTTACCTTATTTCTTTCTAGTTCATCCACTTTAGCAGCTCCTATTTCATATGAAACCTATTCTTTGTTTCCAGCAACCTGGCAAAGTCAAAGATTATAATTGCAATTTCTATCCTGGTGTCGCGTTATCTTATCAGTGTCTGTTTTACTAATAACTTGTCTTTTGCGTCTCTATGAAATGTGCAGATAAGTTAATATGAGACAGAAAGGTCAACAGTTTATGCACAATAGCAGAGACGACAGTCAATTCAGTCAACGCATTGTATTACATCTTCGTATTTACGGAAGATTATAAAAAAAACGCATGCACTGGGTTTCATTGATCGGTTTCTAATTTAAAGGTTTTGTGACGTACTTAACAGCACGCTCACCAGGCGTGCGTCACTGTTTTGTATAAAAAGATGAAAGGGTCTTGGTCGAGTAATACTTGTCTCATCGACGTTAATGCAATAGTGATTACAGTTAACGTAACCCTTTGTCACATGCTACATGAAATGTACAAAAAGATCGTAAAACATGTTTGTTCTTGCCGTTTGGAGAAAGACCAAACAAACTTGCAAGTGTTAGAATGCAACCAGAGGAGAGATTTTAAAATCAAAGACCTATAGAAGAAAAAGCAGAAAGGAAATAGAGGAAATGGAGGTGACGGACACATGATGAATGCAGAACACAATATATTGTGCCATTTTGACGAATATCGACTGGAGCAAAAAAGGATTGTTTGATTTCTTTCAAAACAGAAAGAAAAATGGGGGAGCATCTGATAAATGCATCTGTATCAACAGACTGACCCTGTTTATGTAGCCGTTACCTACATGTCATTACCCAGCAATGAAGATAATTAAAAATTACAAATAATTGCTTACAGAAATAAATAAAAGTCAATGCCACAGTTTTTAATGCACAGTATGTTTAACAAACTTTCAGTTGTAAATATTGAGTAAGTGGAGAAAACGAAACTGAAGCGGACTTAACTTTTTCGCAGGTAATACAGTCTGACAATCGCATGGTACCTGTATGCGTTTTGCAGAATAGCGCACAAAGTGGGAACGATCTATAAACGTTCTTTGTGCAGGTTGTCTTTTATGAATCCTTTTCAAAAACTGTGCCATTTTTCATGGACCATAATTTTGCTTGTGTGATGACAAAAAATAGGTTAAATGTCACAGGTCTGGACCACTAGACATCACTCTTATTCATTAAATACATATATATTCGCAATGGCATTGAAACTTTCAATAAAACGTTTGTATAATGACAACAGTCGACCTGTCATACCCACTTTTTAATAAAGGATTAGGTCCCTCTTGGTGAGGCAGATGGTTTACAATTGATATCTCATAACCAAAGAAAGAGACCCAATGTATCTATTATTGGGCAACAACATTGCTGGAAAAGTTTTCAATGGGGTTTTATTAAACAGAAAGAAAGATGCAGGGACATATGGTGTGGAAAGAATATATCAACTATAGAACAAGTCGCAACTTTAATAATAAGAACTGAGCAATCAAATGTATATATTAATTTTTTTACTTCAAAAAGCTTTTGATATCCTGACCAGAAACACCCATTAGAAACTTTTAAGACGCTATGGATTACCGAAAAGCTGGCTTGCATCATAGGAACTCATATGAAGGGCTAACACGCATAATTATTCATGTTAGTCAGCTTACAAAAGCATTATCGCACGGACAGGAGTGAATCAAGGTTGCCTAGTATCCAGATTTTTGTTTCTACTTGTCATTGAATATAAAATCATCATCATCAGAAACAAGTTATGATTTACAGTGAACATTCTGGGAACAGGTAAACGATCTAGGTTAGGCAGATGGTTTACAATTGATATCTCATAACCAGCAACAAATAAAAATGCTTAATACAAGTTTTAGGATAAATAATACAAATACAAACGCAAAACCAGTGGGTAATATTTCATTCAAAACGTATTTATGTACGCGTAGTATCGTAGATAACACAGGGAAAGTGAGGCCAATGTGAAAACTAGAACAGGGGCTTTCATGCAACCTAACGGACTTAAGAATATATGGGAACTAAATGACTTGTCACTTATGATTAAAGTCCTGCAATGAAAAATACCAGAATATAGGAAGAGGGGAAGGCTGCGAAACACCTAGAGAAGAGAGTTGGAGGCTGAAATAATACTAAGAGACCAACAAGAGAG